AAAACAATAAAGAATTTCAAAAGGAATTTCAAAAGAAAATATAAACACTGCTAGATGGATTTGCCAGTGCAAAAATGCTTCTTTTTACATTTATTAATTTTCAAAAAATTTGCATAGGTCGAATTTATGCAAAAGGGAAAGCAGACAATTCAGCATGCATAAAGGATAATTTTGCTGAAGAGAGATCCAAAAAGCCACACATGTTTTTAAAACTCGGAACATGTGGTATGAAAAGCTTGCGATCCGTAAGTTATGCGGAATGAAATTTCTACATTTTATAATTATCATGTGTAGCATATATGTTGGGTGAACTCTATGATAGTAACCATCAAACTATTTTAATTTTATTAATTAACATTTCGAATTTGTTAAATTTTGACTGTCTTCGAATTATCAATTATTCTTGGTTGTTTGAAATTTTTAATTATACATATATATTATCTAACTATGCATTTAGTAATGCACTAAGCACTGCTAACATTTGGCGTAAAATTGCCAATTCTTAACAAATAATTTCTAAATCAAACTATGTTGCCTTAAATTTTATTAAACAATTTTTATCTTTAAAGCTATTTTAGATTGATCCTCGAGGAATGTATTATGGAATCACCATAGTCGTTTCATTCCATACGGTTTGCTTATTGAAACCATTTAAATATATTCCGAATTATCCGCAAATTTTCGAAGAAATTTGAAAAAGAACTTTGCATTTGGTTTAGTATTCCAAATGACTACTAATTAAATTAATATATGAAGTAGAAAAGTTAAAATTATACGTTTTAATCGATGAACTGTAACACTTTCAGCTACTTATCACGAAGGTTGATCAAGCATTTCATGTCAAATGCTTTTTCGAAGAAGTCAGCCATGGACTTGCAGCTAAATTTGGTGTTAGGTATATTTCGAAAAATGTTCGCAAATATAATTTAAAAAAACACTTTCAACAAATTTTAATTCATTCATGTCTCTGAAATATAGGGAAAAAAATTTTTCTTCCTTAATACGAAAAATAATTTCATCTCAAAAAGTATGGGATGAAAAATTGGCGATGTTAGATAATGAGTATTGTTGAAGAAAGGAGTGAAATTTGAAATTTAATCTTATTGACATATGTAATTATAGCATTCACTCTTTACATATACATTTAAATATACATATATGATTATGAATTAAATCTCTGAGAAGTAGGTCAAGGAAGTAGGAAGGAAGGGAGAGAGACCAAATGAGAAAGAAAAGAGAAATTTAAATTTAGGCCATATTTCTGCCTTCTTCCTTCCCGTTTTAAGGCTCAATTATTTTTTTGCAACCGTTTCTTTTTTTATTATTCGGTGATATTCTGTTCTTCCGTCTATAGTAAAATTAAATACAAAAGTAAGCACATAAATGATAACGCCATCAATATTTTTATTGAATAATGCATACGACAATGAATTAGGAATAAATCCATATTATCCTAAAATGCAAATAATTTTAGCATCAAAGATTATACTTTTATTTCATTCATTACTAATAAAATACAATCAATTAATTATTACCACGCCAAATAATGCTTTTAAATAATTTCTTTTATAAACAGGATAAACGTAATTAAATTTAAAAAATATTTACACCATTTGTAAAATGAATCATAATTTCAGTATGATAGCAACAACAGAAATGGAGGCTCGTCATCCTATTCCAGGTTGTTCCTACAGTATCCACGCTAGTAGTATTGATGATCTTGAAGCTGGAAAACCTGCTGGTCCTATAATTAAATATGCTCGAGTTGGTGATCGAGTCCTTCACCAATGGCATTGTGATGATCGTAAGCAAATTTTATTTTATTGCACCTGGGAAATCATTCATACATTTCCGGTTATCATTCATATTCTATCAAATTTCAAAAGTTAATTATCATCTTAATTATTCATAATTAAGCTACAACGTTCAGCAAAGCTTTTGTTATTTAAAATTTTGTTAATATTATATCAATGATAGTTTGATTTTATTTTATCAATAATTTGCATCATTTTGTAGTAATGTATGGCATACTAATCAATAATTGTTATGTTACTGATGGATTTGGTAAACGTACCGAAGTTATAGATTCGAATGGGTTAATAAATTTTATTTTCTTATTTCTTTCTTTGTAACAAGTTAAGAATTTAATTTAATTAAAAAAGATGAATCGTAAAATGTTTTTTGCTAATTGGTGTTGAATTTTTTTGTAAATTTTTGGCGAGTTTTTTTTTAAAAGATAATATAGGTGTTCGGTTGATCCAATTCTCATTACGGGTATTCGATATTCAGCCGATTTGCAACGAGCTTACGGAGAAAGCATGGTGTTTAAATTTGCTGATCGACCAGGTGTTTGGTTTTTTTGTCAAATTCAAATGTGTATGAAAAAGGAAGGAATGTGTCAAGGAATTACGGTAAATTGTTTGCAAAAAATAAAAACTGAAATTAATTTACGGCTAATTTAAAAATTTTCATAGGAATTTTACTACCATTTTAGAATATTTTGTTTTTTGTAAATATTAGAGGGGAAGATGAAAAGTGCGGGCAGACAAACATCAACAACTGGAAAAAGTAATGGAAAAAATATTAGCATTCAATTGAAATAAACAATTTAGCCGCCAACTTGTGCTTCGCAAACTGGAAATATCGCTTATATTACTGAAGAGGAGGAAGAGATGCAAAAAATTTCGGGAAGGATAAGACCATTATCATTAACACCATCATCTGCGAAATCAGGAAGATTGGAAAACGAAGTTGAAACCATTGAAGGGTTAGTGGATGAATATTTAGATGTGATTTAATATTTAAGTTAAATATGTATACTAGGCTTTATTTTTAAGATATTCAAAAGATTTAATTTTTGATTCAAAAAAAGATTTTATTTTGATTTTCATTTTCACTTGACTTTTATTGTCAAGTTCTTGGTACCGGTTTTTTGTGTGAGTAAAGGAGTTTGGAAAACAAAATCTAAAAATTTGATTAGTTGGAATTATTGTGCAGTGATCGATGTTTTATAAATTTTTATATGAATTAATTCTAAGAAGAACAATTTGTTTTCTTTCTTTTTAAGACTTTCATCCGCATTTGACCTGAGTAATGCGATTGAATATGAAGAAAGTGGTGGAATTTACGATGAATTAGTGTTTACTACAAATAGTCCGAGAGATAAACATCGAAGAATAATAGCAAAACAGAAAATTTCAACAGCAAAAACCACTAAAGTTGTATTTTTCCTTTTTTTATGCAAAAAATAAATAAATTGTTGCAAATCGTTTTCTATGTGATATTAATCGTGATGGTCTTCTTTTTTTAAATGTTCTGTTTGATTTTTTTCGAATATTTTGATAATTTTAATTGGTATTTCACTTCAGGCATTAGTAACTACAGTGTTTGAGACGACTGATAAATATAATGTTGAAGACAAACGTGAGAATGAAGAAATTGGGAAACCGGTTGGCGGAAGTAATATTTGTAATTCAAATCAGAAAGCGTTAAAAAAGAAATTGGAAAAGCAAAACATATCCAAGAAAAATTTTTATTTGAAATCTTTACTTAATTTAAATTAGTCAAAGGAAACCTTTGTCGTTCGAATAATTTATGGAAAAAAATTTGATATTAAAAAATTTATAAACGGAAATTTTTCTTTCTGCAATAAATTTCGGTAATATCATCATTTATTTGCAATGTCAAATTAATCTAATTATGATAACATTTGATAGATATTTTACAATAATTTACAATACTGTGTAATTATTGTGTATTTCAGAAGAATATAAAGAGAGAGATTATGAGGATATAACAATAACGTCTAATTTCAATGATTTATTGGCCAATTTACCAGATGAAGTCAATGCTGATTCCTTGCAAAAAATGTTTCGTGATTCGGTAGAAAATCGACGTGTTCTTATGCGAAGTTTTGATTATTTTATGAATCAGGTATTAATTGATAAAATAATACTTATCACAGAAATTAGATTGAAGTAAATTAAGTGTGAGAAAATTTAAATACTTTATAAAGTTTATCAGATTATAAAAGAAACATAAATTATAGTTTTTGTTCTTCAAATATGAGCAAGGTTTTCATCCTATTATGCAACAAAAAATTTATGTAAATGTACTGATTTAAACGTTTCGCTTATGTCGTCTTATCATATCGTTTGATCAATTAAACATCACTTTTAATTTATAGATGAAAGAAAATGAAGTGATTCAGACGACAACAACAAAGTCATCAATTATGAAAGAAAAATACAAACGGGGTGATAAAATTAAAACAATCAGGGTATTATAATTGTTTTAGTTGTTAATTCAATATAGTAATTAGGCAAATTCTTGTTATAACAAAACAGCTCTGTTGTGTTTTTTTCGCAAAATTTCGTCATACTTTAGATTTTTAAATTAAAAAAAGGGAATTTCTAAGAACAATTTTCAAGTATTTCTTTTTCTGAATATTCTAGGTATCTTGGGATTCAGCTCGCTTGGCAGATAAGCCATTAATGGAAGCTTCAACTATTGATTTGGACAATGAAAATCGTTTAATGAGACAAAATATTGATACAGTTATGCCATCGATACGTAGCGGTGAAAGTTCATCATCAATGATTGCTGGTCAACTAATTATTTATGATTTGGATGAAGAACCACCAGTTGCTAACCAACCAAGGAGGAAAAGAGGTAAAATTATGGCTCAATTAAGTTGAAACTAAACCAAATTTCTCTTCCACAATGGAAATTATGATGATCGCATGACTCGTAAAGTTTATCAGTATTGTTGAAACATTCAATTCAATCTATTAAACAAATTAGGTTTCAAAAATTTTTCAGTGAAAACCATTAACAGTAATAATAATAATAGTAGTAGAATTAGTTAATGCTAATTGTGTTGGCTTATGATAAGATATTAATGACTCATGCTAAAATTGTTGAATGATCTGTTGAAGTAGTAACAATAGCTAACACACAATAAGCACTGATGTTTATTTCAGTGCTCAAACCGGATAACTGTATTATTAGCAGGGAAGGATTATTTGTTGTAGCTTCAAGTTTGGGTGCTATTTCTACTGCATTATTCATTGCTACCATTTTTATGTATCATCGATTATCCAAATATATAAAGGTAAATTTTCTCATTTCTTTTTTTATTTTCGTTTTAATTAAAATTTACATTTGTAGTTGTTCTTATAATAAAAGCATTTAAATTTGACGGTTTGANGCTACCATTTTTATGTATCATCGATTATCCAAATATATAAAGGTAAATTTTCTCATTTCTTTTTTTATTTTCGTTTTAATTAAAATTTACATTTGTAGTTGTTCTTATAATAAAAGCATTTAAATTTGACGGTTTGAAATTAAGCCAAAATTAATCCATTTGCTGATTATGTTTAGAGCAATTGAATTATTCGCAACTTGAATTAATTGATAAGATGGATTAGATGATTTATTAGATGATTAGATAATTTATTTCAAAACTATTTCATAAGAGTTTTTTCGAAACTTCTGAAATAAATCTTTGTAAATTAAATTCAAACTATTTATTTAATTTTGTTAGTACATTAATGCATTTTTTTTTATCTAATAGTTATACAATTTTAATTGATCATTCTAAACATTGTTAAATGTAATGTATGTGATCAACTGATAAGTGTTATTGTCAAATAATTTGTGAGTAAAACACAAAATATCTACCAAATTGCCTACAATTCTGGTTCTATTCAAATGAATAGAATTGATTAAATGACTTTCATTTTCAGGATCATCATTAGCAATATAACTGGATTATCAACTATAAATGTTATAGCAAAATAATTCTCGATGGTAAAGTATTGTTTAGCATCATATATTTAACTTAACAACAGGCGTTTGTCTTAATAACAATGATAATTAGCTATATTTATTTAAGCTTCAAAACATTAATTTTTTGTTTCAAATTAAAACTAATAAGTCAATGAAATGAGAAACTTACAGTCTTGAAAAATTAAATATCTGAAGAACTTTTTCTAAATTAAAATTTTTTTTCTTCTTTTAACTATGAAGGCATAATAATATATTACTAAAAAAATTGAAATGTTTTCAATGTATTCAATATGATGAATATAATCTGTGAAATTTAGTATTCAATCGGGAAACGAGAAAGGAATTAATTTTGGTTTGATTATAAAAATGAATAATTTTTTTTATTTCTGTCTCGAATTATTATAGTTAACAGAAATTTAAGTATTTGCTTGTTTAATTTCAATGAAATCTTCTTATAGTATGATATTAATTACCAAGCTTTTTTCAGACATTATTGAAACTATTAAGGTATTTAAAAAAAATTCCTTTTATTTTGTTATTATTTTCAAAAAATGCGACACTATATCTTACAAATCGAAAACAATTCTTTAATTATGTAAAATATTGATTGATTTATAAAATTCATCATTCATCAGCGAAAAAAAATAAATGTTTGAATTTGTGCAAGAAATTTTGCAAGAAATTTTACAAGAAATTATAGCAATTCGTAATAAAACATTAGCGACGAAAATTAATATTAATAGATATTTATGATAGGTATTATAATAGGTTAATTAATTTACTATTAGATACATCTAATTGTAATGTTTTAAATATTTGCATGTCAAAAGTTATTTCATTTATTAGCGCTCCAACATTTGAAATTCGAAATTATACCATATTTTATTTTGAATCATTTTTGATTTAATAAAGAATCAATAATAATTAATGAATTTGTTATAAAATTTTTGGCATATATTTTATTTCTAAATGCGGCAATTCTTTTTGCCCCAAATAAAACGATTGAACAATCCATTTTTTCGGAAATGTATTTGATGAAAAAAAACAGAGAATATAAAGAAACGGTAAATATATGTCAGGTTGGAAAGAAAATAGGTCATGGCTCCAAAGAGGAAGTTTTGATTCATTTTGATTTATTTTGTTAAACATATGGGTCGTGCCAGTTGGACGACCCGTTCCATCATTTTCTACCCAATACATATTTACAAATTTATGCTCATATTGCCTTTTTTTACTACAAAATTTGACCATTTTTTTCAATAAATTATGATCGAGATATCCAAAATTACCCGTACTATCTATCGCCTGCAAATATATTGTCGAAATTTTCTGCTAAATTGCAAATGTAACAAAATCAAATTTTTTTTGTTGTTAAGAGATGATTGAGAAGTTTTTATGAAATTATTTATATCTGTCATTTGTTGACAGTTTTAAAAGCTGTGTTATTTGANATATTGTCGAAATTTTCTGCTAAATTGCAAATGTAACAAAATCAAATTTTTTTTGTTGTTAAGAGATGATTGAGAAGTTTTTATGAAATTATTTATATCTGTCATTTGTTGACAGTTTTAAAAGCTGTGTTATTTGATGCAATATAGAAAAGAATGATTTATAATTTTATTTGCATATTTATTATAATCATTGGTTATTATTTGATGTGTATTGTTTTCTCAAATTTTGTTAATTCATTATTAACCGATCATAATTTTAATTTAATAAATTTGTTGAATTTTCCTGAAATTGTAATACTTTTATTGAAAATTTTAGCAAATTTTTCTAAAACTATGGTATTTATGGTGAATTTTTTAAAACTGTAGTAGTGCTTAATGTAAAATGAAAGAAATGACTATTAAAGAGTAATTTTGATGAAGAATGATATCAAATTGATAAGTCATTCTGAGATCAATTATCAGGTGCTAATCAATTATCACCAACCAGTGCTAATTAATTATCATCTATTAAATNTGTAAAATGAAAGAAATGACTATTAAAGAGTAATTTTGATGAAGAATGATATCAAATTGATAAGTCATTCTGAGATCAATTATCAGGTGCTAATCAATTATCACCAACCAGTGCTAATTAATTATCATCTATTAAATCATGACATTTCACAGCTTTTATAGCAATAGAAAATATTTGCAAACTCTTTGTTAACTGTACAAACAGTTTGTAAATATTTTCCGAACTTCATCCCACAACTCGGAATATTTAATTCCTTCCATTCCTATAATCACAAATTTCAAATATCATAAAAACTTATTATTTCTAAATTCGGCAGCTTGATTCCAATTTCTTTGACTTCTGATAACTTAAAATAATATTTTAATTTTTTCGATTTCTACACGGAACAATTAAATGAATGAATGAATGATTGGATTATTTAAATTATAACATTTGCATATATGCAAAAGTATGAAATCATTTCCTGATTAATTTTAAAACTGAAAAATGCTTCATTTGAAAATTTTCACCATTATCCGAGTGTACATCTTTAATGATATTACGGATGCTTTCATTAAATTCATCTTCAATAGGATATTTTGCCCTTATAATCGAGCTGCCACATTTGTCCGACGTAAATATTTGTGTATGTGAAGTACATAAAATCTCTAAATATATGTTTGTGTATGTGTATGTTTGTGTGTATGTAAGTATGTATGTGCATGTATTTGTATGCATGGAACGACCCGTATTTTCTGGAATTTGGGGCAATCAGATTCGGTTGATGATGCATCGTCGTTGATTCCAACTACTACCGTCTCGTTGTGATTGTCATCAGTTGTATTGTACCATTGCCGTTGCTATGTCCTCTTATTTCGAAATTGCATTCTGAATCAGTTTGATTGTTTAATATCCTATTCCTGAATTTTATTCATGACCTAAGGGAACAACATTACAACTTCCATTTATTAATCTCTAAAAGTTGCATTAGATTGAATTTGAAATTGCATGTCAAATCTCTTAGTTCAAATAACAATCCGACAATTTTTATATTCATCTCTGATTTATCCATCGTAAACTGTATTGGATATTGACCAAAAACTTTCCTAAAAAATGTTGAAAATCTCAAATGCTTTTTTCATCCACATTATTTTGTTCATTTAAATTCAAATTTTAATTAATTATAAGAGGATAAAATTTCTCTAAGTCTTCTTTTTTATTTCATCAATTTCAGGTTTTATGTAATTTCTTTTTGTTGAAAATGCTGATATGATATTAATGTAATGCTATTAAATACTTTTAAATATTTGAATTTAAACATCTAAAAAAAATCGATCACCAAATATTGCATTAATGCATGATATTAATGTAATGATAATAATTCAATTGATAATATTTAGTACTTTTTCAACCTGTAATTAATTAATTTATAATCTAAATGTTGATTTTTTATTTTATAGTATATATTTATTTATATTAATTTTGAATTAAAATTTGATGATGTATGTATGATAATTTTTTTTGCGGAAAAAATATTTTAAATTAGTTATTATTTAATTTAAATATTATCAACTGAATTATTTACTTCAAAATGAATATTTCAAAAATTATTCAATATTTTTTCTCAATCTTTAACTGCCACATATTATAGGAATACTTAAAAACAGGAAATTTCATCCTTTATTATATTCATTCGATAAATACTTCCATTTAATATATTCAATTTATAATTTATATATATAATAAATTATATCTGAATTTATATTTGAATAGTAAAAAATGGCTGTTGAAATAGTATCATAACAAATGTATTTTCAATCATTTCTTGTCATTATTTTTCACTTATTAATATTAATCATTTTTAATTTACATATTCTGTTCTTTTTTCTTACCTTTCAATCACCCAATTTTGTGGGCAGGTAACCCATGCTTCTGACTCGTGAAATTCATTCGAATCAGC